AAAAATATTTATTCCAGTTAAATTTGAAGGGTATACATTCAAAAGTGTACACTTATTTATTTTTTTAATATTATTGAATATACATAAAACATTTGCACAGAAACTTCACCAGTTTCTGTTGTTCTTTAACTTTTTTTTTTATTTACGTTCAATATTTCATAGTATTCCTAGTTTGCAGTCCTTCAAGAATTTTATTTTATATTTTTACCCTCTCTTATTAAACAGACACTTTTTCAAAATTGAAATTATAAACTGCACTGTAACACATTCTAGCTTATTATTTGCTTATATTCTAATTTAAGTTTATTTTCAGGATCCAGTTAATTTTTTGTAAAATGTTTATGAATTCTATCTTTAAATCTTGCGACATTTGTACATTACACCACTCTGTCAAAGGCTCCTCCATGTCAAAGGCAGTAGGAACATCATCAGTCATGGGTGGATCAAAGGCAGAGAAAGGAATAGCTTTAAAAATTTATAATTTTATTTCCGTCAGTGCAAATTAATAATATTTGGTATTTGACTAATTTTTTCCTTTTATGCTAGTCTTGGAACATTGTAAGGTTGTAATAAAACCTAAAATATTCAACATAGTAGAAACATAGTTTTTACTAAAAATAAATGTACCTAGTTCATTAATTCCTAATACAGCAAGGCTTTTTCCAAATCTGAGCAGCATAGCAGTATAAAAAATAAGCTTATAAAACATATTGCAAAACTAAAAAAAAATCACCAAACAGATATTATCTGTTGCTCAATATTAATTATATTAAAGTTGAGTAAAAGAAAAAATATTTATTCCAGTTAAATTTGAAGGGTATACATTCAAAAGTGTACACTTATTTATTTTTTTAATATTATTGAATATACATTAAACATTTGCACAGAAACTTCACCAGTTTCTGTTGTTCTTTAACTTTTTTTTTTATTTACGTTCAATATTTCATAGTATTCCTAGTTTGCAGTCCTCCAAGAATATAATTATACCCTCTCTTATTAAACATACACTTCTTCAAAATTAAAATTATAAATTGCAATGTATCACATTCAAGCTAATTATTTACTTATATTCACCTGGAAGTTAATTTTCAGGATCCAGATAATTTTTTGTAAAATGTTTATGATTTCTATCTTTAAACCTTGCAAAATTTATACATTACACCACTCTGTCAAAGGCACCTCCTTGTCAAAGGCAGTAGGAACTCCATCAGTCATTGGTGGATCAAAGGTAGGGTAAGGAATAGCTTTAAAAATTTATAATTTTATTTCCGTCAGTGCAAATTAATAATATTTGGTATTTGACTAATTTTTTCCTTTTATGCTAGTCTTGGAACATTGTAAGGTTGTAATAAAACCTAAAATATTCAACATAGTAGAAACATAGTTTTTACTAAAAATAAATGTACCTTGTTGATTAATTCCTAGTACAGCAAGGCTTTTTCTAAACGTGAGAAACATATCATTATAAAAATAAGCTTATAAAACATATTGCAAAACTAAAAAAAAATCACCAAACAGATATTATCTGTTGCTCAATATTAATTATATTAAAGTTGAGTAAAAGAAAAAATATTTCTTCCAGTTAAATTTGAAGGGTATACATTCAAAAGTGTACACTTATTTATTTTTTTAATATGATTGAATATACATTAAACATTTGCACTCAAACTTCACCAATTTCTGTTGTTTTTTAATTTTTTTTTTATTTACGGTCAATATTTCATAGTATTCCTAGTTTGCAGTCTTGCAAGAATATAATTTTATATTTTTACCCTCCCTTATTAAACAGACACTTCTTCAAATTTGAAATTATAAATTGCAATGTATCACATTCAAGCTAATTATTTACTTATATTCTCCTGGAAGTTTATTTTCAGGATCCAGTTAATTTTTTGTAAAATGTTTATGAATTCCATCTTTAAATCTTGCGACATTTGTACATTACACCACTCTGTCAAAGGCACCTCCATGTCAAAGGCAGTAGGAACTCCATCAGTCATTGGTGGATCAAAGGTAGGGTAAGGAATAGCTTTAAAAATTTATAATTTTCTTTCCCTCAGTGCAAATTGATAATATTTGGTAATTGACTAATTTTCACCTTTTATACTAGCCTTGGAACATTGTAATGTTGTAATAAAACCTAAAATATTCAACATAGTGGAAACACAGTTTTTACTAAAAATAAATGTACCTAGTTGATTAATTCCTAGTATAGCAAGGCTTTTTCCAAATCTGAGCAGCATATCATTAATAAAATAAGCTTATAAAACATATTGCACAGCTAAAAAAAAATCACCAAACAGATATTATCTGTTGCTCAATATTTATTATATTTACCTCAAGTAAAAAAAAAATGTTTATTCCAGTTAAATTTGAAGGGTATACATTCAAAAGTGTACACTTATTTATTTTTTTAATATGATTGAATATACATTAAACATTTGCACTCAAACTTCACCAGTTTCTGTTGTTTTTTAATTTTTTTTTTATTTACGGTCAATATTTCATAGTATTCCTAGTTTGCAGTCTTGCAAGAATATAATTTTATATTTTTACCCTCTCTTATTAAACAGACACTTCTTCAAATTTGAAATTATAAATTGCAATGTATCACATTCAAGCTAATTATTTATTTATATTCTACTTGAAGTTTATTTTCAGGATCCAGTTAATTTTTTGTAAAATGTTTATGAATTCTATCTTTAAAGCTTGCGACATTTATACATTACACCACTCTGTCAAAGGCACCTCCTTGTCAAAGGCAGTAGGAACTCATCAGTCATTGGTGGATCAAAGGTAGGGTAAGGAATAGCTTTAAAAATTTATAATTTTTTTTCCCTCAGTGCAAATTAATAATATTTGGTAATTGACTAATTTTCTCCTTTTATGCTAGTCTTGGAACATTGTAAGGTTGTACTAAAACCTAAAATATTCAACATAGTGGAAACACAGTTTTTACTAAAAATAAATGTACCTAGTTCATTAATTCCTAATACAGCAAGGCTTTTTCCAAATCTGAGCAGCATAGCAGTATAAAAAATAAGCTTATAAAACATATTGCAAAACTAAAAAAAAATCACCAAACAGATATTATCTGTTGCTCAATATTAATTATATTAAAGTTGAGTAAAAGAAAAAATATTTCTTCCAGTTAAATTTGATGGGTATACATTCAAAAGTGTACACTTATTTATTTTTTTAATATTATTGAATATACATTAAACATTTGCACAGAAACTTCACCAGTTTCTGTTGTTCTTTAACTTTTTTTTTTATTTACGTTCAATATTTCATAGTATTCCTAGTTTGCAGTCCTCCAAGAATATAATTATACCCTCTCTTATTAAACATACACTTCTTCAAAATTAAAATTATAAATTGCAATGTATCACATTCAAGCTAATTATTTACTTATATTCACCTGTAAGTTTATTTTCAGGATCCAGATAATTTTTTGTAAAATGTTTATGATTTCTATCTTTAAACCTTGCAAAATTTATACATTACACCACTCTGTCAAAGGCACCTCCTTGTCAAAGGCAGTAGGAACTCCATCAGTCATTGGTGGATCAAAGGTAGGGTAAGGAATAGCTTTAAAAATTTATAATTTTATTTCCGTCAGTGCAAATTAATAATATTTGGTATTTGACTAATTTTTTCCTTTTATGCTAGTCTTGGAACATTGTAAGGTTGTAATAAAACCTAAAATATTCAACATAGTAGAAACATAGTTTTTACTAAAAATAAATGTACCTTGTTGATTAATTCCTAGTACAGCAAGGCTTTTTCTAAATCTGAGCAGCATATCATTATAAAAATAAGCTTATAAAACATATTGCAAAACTAAAAAAAAATCACCAAACAGATATTATCTGTTGCTCAATATTAATTATATTAAAGTTGAGTAAAAGAAAAAATATTTATTCCAGTTAAATTTGAAGGGTATACATTCAAAAGTGTACACTTATTTATTTTTTTAATATTATTGAATATACATTAAACATTTGCACAGAAACTTCACCAGTTTCTGTTGTTTTTAATTTTTTTTTATTTACGGTCAATATTTCATAGTATTCCTAGTTTGCAGTCTTGGAAGAATATAATTTTATATTTTTACCCTCTCTTATTAAACAGAATTTTCTTCAAAATTGAAATTATATATTGCAATGTATCACATTCAAGCTAATTATTTACTTATATTCTCCTGGAAGTTTATTTTCAGGATCCAGTTAATTTTTTGTAAAATGTTTATGAATTCTATCTTTAAATCTTGCGACATTTGTACATTACACCACTCTGTCAAAGGCACCTCCATGTCAAAGGCAGTAGGAACTCCATCAGTCATTGGTGGATCAAAGGTAGGGTAAGGAATAGCTTTAAAAATTTATAATTTTATTTCCCTCAGTGCAAATTGATAATATTTGGTAATTGACTAATTTTCTCCTTTTATGCTAGTCTTGGAACATTGTAAGGTTGTAATAAAACCTAAAATATTCAACATAGTGGAAACATAGTTTTTACTAAAAATAAATGTACCTAGTTGATTAATTCCTAGTACAGCAAGGCTTTTTCCTAATCTGAGCAGCATATCATTAATAAAATAAGATTATAAAACATATTGCAAAACTAAAAAAAAATCACCAAACAGATATTATCTGTTGCTCAATATTAATTATATTTATCTGAAGTGAAAAGAGAAATGTTTATTCCAGTTAAATTTGAAGTGTATACATTCAAAAGTGTAGACTTATTTACTTTTTTATTATTATTGAATATACATTAAACATTTGCACAGAAACTTCACCAGTTTCTGTTGTTCTTTAATTTTTTTTTTATTTACGTTCAATATATCATAGTATTCCTAGTTTGCAGTCTTCAAGAATATAATTATATACCCTCTCTTATTAAACATACACTTCTTCAAAATTGAAACTATAAATTGCAATGTATCACATTCAAGCTAATTATTTACTTATATTCTCCTGGAAGTTTATTTTCAGGATCCAGTTAATTTTTTGTAAAATGTTTATGAATTCCATCTTTAAATCTTGCGACATTTGTACATTACACCACTCTGTCAAAGGCACCTCCATGTCAAAGGCAGTAGGAACTCCATCAGTCATTGGTGGATCAAAGGTAGGGTAAGGAATAGCTTTAAAAATTTATAATTTTCTTTCCCTCAGTGCAAATTGATAATATTTGGTAATTGACTAATTTTCACCTTTTATACTAGTCTTGGAACATTGTAAGGTTGTAATAAAACCTAAAATATTCAACATAGTGGAAACACAGTTTTTACTAAAAATAAATGTAACTAGTTGATTAATTCCTAGTATAGCAAGGCTTTTTCCAAATCTGAGCAGCATATCATTATTAAAATAAGCTTATAAAACATATTGCAAAGCTAAAAAAAAATCACCAAACAGATATTATCTGTTGCTCAATATTAATTATTTTAACCTCAAGTAAAAGAAAAAATGTTCATTTCAGTTAAATTTGAAGGGTATACATTCAAAAGTTTACACTTATTTATTTTTTTAATATGATTGAATATATATTAAACATTTGCACACAAACTTCACCAGTTTGTGTTGTTTTTTTTCATTTTTTTTATTTACAGCACATATTTAATAGTATTAAATTATTTTATAATTTTTTGTAAAATGTTTATGAATTCCATCTTTAAATTTTGCGACATTTGTACATTACACCACTCTGTCAAAGGCACCTCCATGTCAAAAGGCAGTAGGAACTCCATCAGTCATTGGTGGATCAAAGGTAGGGTACGGAATAGCATTAAAAATTTATAATTTTATTTCCCTCAGTGCAAATTGATAATATTTGTAATTGACTAATTTTCTCCTTTTATACTAGTCTTGGAACATTGTGAGGTTGTCATAAAACCTAAAATATTCAACATAGTAGAAGGATTGTTTTTACTAAAAATAAATGTACCTTGTTGATTAATTCCTAGTACAGCAAGGCTCTATCTAAACGTGAGCAGCATATAATTATAAAAATAAGCTTATATGACATCTTGCACATCTAAAAAAATAATTCACCAAACAGATATTATCTGTTGCTCAATATTAATTATATTTACCTCTAGTGAAAAAAAAAAAATGTTTATTCCAGTTTAATTTGAAGGATATACATTCAAAAGTGTACACTTATTTATTTTTTTAATATTATTGAATATACATTAAACATTTGCACAGAAACTTCACCAGTTTCAGTTGTTCTTTAATTTTTTTTTTATTTACGTTCAATATTTCATAGTATTCCTAGTTTGCAGTCCTTCAAGAATATAATTATACCCTCTCTCATAAAACAGACACTTTTTCAAAATTGAAATTATAAACTGCACTGTAACACATTCTAGCTTATTATTTGCTTATATTCTAATTTAAGTTTATTTTCAGGATCCAGTTAATTTTTTGTAAAATGTTTATGAATTCTATCTTTAAATCTTGCGACATTTGTACATTACACCAGTCTGTCAAAGGCACCTCCATGTCAAAGGCAGTAGGAACTCCATCAGTCATTGGTAGATCAAAGGTAGGGTAAGGAATAGCTTTAAAAATTTATAATTTTATTTCCCTCAGTGCAAATTGATATTATTTGGTAATTGACTAATTTTCTCCTTTTATGCAAGTCTTGGAACATTGTAAAGTTGTAATAAAACCTAAAATATTCAACATAGTGGAAACACAGTTTTTACTAAAAATAAATGTACCTAGTTGATTAATTCCTAGTACAGCAAGGCTTTTTCCTAATCTGAGCAGCATATCATTAATAAAATAAGATTATAAAACATATTGCAAAACTAAAAAAAAATTACCAAACAGATATTATCTGTTGCTCAATATTAATTATATTTATCTGAAGTGAAAAGAGAATGTTTATTCCAGTTAAATTTGAAGTGTATACATTCAAAAGTGTAGACTTATTTACTTTTTTATTATTATTGAATATACATTAAACATTTGCACAGAAACTTCACCAGTTTCTGTTGTTCTTTAATTTTTTTTTTTATTTACGTTCAATATATCATTGTATTCCTAGTTTGCAGTCCTTCAAGAATATAATTATACCCTCTCTTATTAAACATACACTTCTTCAAAATTGAAATTATAAACTGCAATGTAACACATTCTAGCGTATTATTTGCTTATATTCTAATTTAAGTTTATTTTCAGGATCCAGTTTATTTTTTGTAAAATGTTTATGAATTCTGTCTATAGATCTTGCGACATTTGTACATTACACCACTCTGTCAAAGGCACCTCCATGTCAAAGGCAGTATCAACTCCATCAGTCATTGGTGGATCAAAGGTAGGGTAATGAATAGCTTTAAAAATTTATAATTTTATTTCCCTCAGTGCAAATTAATAATATTTGGTAATAGACTAATTTTCTCCTTGTATGCTAGTCTTGGAACATTGTAAGGTTGTAATAAAACCTAAAATATTCAACATAGTGGAAACACAGTTTTTACTAAAAATAAATGTAACTAGTTGATTAATTCCTAGTATAGCAAGGCTTTTTCCAAATCTGAGCAGCATATCATTATTAAAATAAGCTTATAAAACATATTGCAAAGCTAAAAAAAAATCACCAAACAGATATTATCTGTTGCTCAATATTAATTATTTTAACCTCAAGTAAAAGAAAAGATGTTCATTTCAGTTAAATTTGAAGGGTATACATTCAAAAGTTTACACTTATTTATTTTTTTAATATGATTGAATATATATTAAACATTTGCACACAAACTTCACCAGTTTGTGTTGTTTTTTTTCATTTTTTTTATTTACAGCACATATTTAATAGTGTTCCTTGTTTGCAGTCTTGCAAGAATATAATTTTATATTTTTACCCTCTCTTATTAAACATACACTTCTTCAAAATTGAAATTATAAACTGCAATGCATCACATCCAATCTAATTATTTACTTATATTTTCCTGGAAGTTTGTTTTCAGGATCCAGTTAATTTTTTGTAAAATGTTTATGAATTCTGTTTATAGATCTTGCGACATTTGTACATTACACGACTCTGTCAAAGGCACCTCCATGTCAAAGGCAGTATCAACTCCATCAGTCATTGGCGGATCAAAGGTAGGGTAAGGAATAGCTTTAAAAATTTATAATTTTCTTTCCCTCAGTGCAAATTGATAATATTTGGTAATTGACTAATTTTCTCCTTTTATGCAAGTCTTGGAACATTGTAAAGTTGTAATAAAACCTAAAATATTCAACATAGTGGAAACACCGTTTTTACTAAAAATAAATGTACCTAGTTGATTAATTCCTAGTACAGCAAGGCTTTTTCCAAATCTGAGCAGCATATCATTATTAAAATAAGCTTATAAAACATATTGCAAAGCTAAAAAAAAATCACCAAACAGATATTATCTGTTGCTCAATATTAATTATTTTAACCTCAAGTAAAAGAAAAAATGTTCATTTCAGTTAAATTTGAAGGGTATACATTCAAAAGTTTACACTTATTTATTTTTGTAATATGATTGAATATATATTAAACATTTGCACACAAACTTCACCAGTTTGTGTTGTTTTTTTTCATTTTTTTTATTTACAGCACATATTTAATAGTATTAAATTATTTTATAATTTTTTGTAAAATGTTTATGAATTCCATCTTTAAATTTTGCGACATTTGTACATTACACCACTCTGTCAAAGGCACCTCCATGTCAAAAGGCAGTAGGAACTCCATCAGTCATTGGTGGATCAAAGGTAGGGTACGGAATAGCATTAAAAATTTATAATTTTATTTCCCTCAGTGCAAATTGATAATATTTGTAATTGACTAATTTTCTCCTTTTATACTAGTCTTGGAACATTGTGAGGTTGTCATAAAACCTAAAATATTCAACATAGTAGAAGGATTGTTTTTACTAAAAATAAATGTACCTTGTTGATTAATTCCTAGTACAGCAAGGCTCTATCTAAACGTGAGCAGCATATAATTATAAAAATAAGCTTATATGACATCTTGCACATCTAAAAAAATAATTCACCAAACAGATATTATCTGTTGCTCAATATTAATTATATTTACCTCTAGTGAAAAAAAAAAATATTTATTCCAGTTTAATTTGAAGGATATACATTCAAAAGTGTACACTTATTTATTTTTTTAATATTATTGAATATACATTAAACATTTGCACAGAAACTTCACCAGTTTCAGTTGTTCTTTAATTTTTTTTTTATTTACGTTCAATATTTCATAGTATTCCTAGTTTGCAGTCCTTCAAGAATATAATTATACCCTCTCTCATAAAACTGACACTTCTTCAAAATTGAAATTATAAACTGCAATGTAACACATTCTAGCGTATTATTTGCTTATATTCTAATTTAAGTTTATTTTCAGGATCCAGTTTATTTTTTGTAAAATGTTTATGAATTCTGTCTATAGATCTTGCGACATTTGTACATTACACCACTCTGTCAAAGGCACCTCCATGTCAAAGGCAGTATCAACTCCATCAGTCATTGGTGGATCAAAGGTAGGGTAAGGAATAGCTTTAAAAATTTATAATTTTATTTCCCTCAGTGCAAATTAATAATATTTGGTAATAGACTAATTTTCTCCTTGTATGCTAGTCTTGGAACATTGTAAGGTTGTAATAAAACCTAAAATATTCAACATAGTGGAAACACAGTTTTTACTAAAAATAAATGTAACTAGTTGATTAATTCCTAGTATAGCAAGGCTTTTTCCAAATCTGAGCAGCATATCATTATTAAAATAAGCTTATAAAACATATTGCAAAGCTAAAAAAAAATCACCAAACAGATATTATCTGTTGCTCAATATTAATTATTTTAACCTCAAGTAAAAGAAAAAATGTTCATTTCAGTTAAATTTGAAGGGTATACATTCAAAAGTTTACACTTATTTATTTTTGTAATATGATTGAATATATATTAAACATTTGCACACAAACTTCACCAGTTTGTGTTGTTTTTTTTCATTTTTTTTATTTACAGCACATATTTAATAGTATTAAATTATTTTATAATTTTTTGTAAAATGTTTATGAATTCCATCTTTAAATTTTGCGACATTTGTACATTACACCACTCTGTCAAAGGCACCTCCATGTCAAAAGGCAGTAGGAACTCCATCAGTCATTGGTGGATCAAAGGTAGGGTACGGAATAGCATTAAAACTTTATAATTTTATTTCCCTCAGTGCAAATTGATAATATTTGTAATTGACTAATTTTCTCCTTTTATACTAGTCTTGGAACATTGTGAGGTTGTCATAAAACCTAAAATATTCAACATAGTAGAAGGATTGTTTTTACTAAAAATAAATGTACCTTGTTGATTAATTCCTAGTACAGCAAGGCTCTATCTAAACGTGAGCAGCATATAATTATAAAAATAAGCTTATATGACATCTTGCACATCTAAAAAAATAATTCACCAAACAGATATTATCTGTTGCTCAATATTAATTATATTTACCTCTAGTGAAAAAAAAAAATGTTTATTCCAGTTTAATTTGAAGGATATACATTCAAAAGTGTACACTTATTTATTTTTTTAATATTATTGAATATACATTAAACATTTGCACACAAACTTCACCAGTTTCAGTTGTTCTTTAATTTTTTTTTTTATTTACGTTCAATATTTCATAGTATTCCTAGTTTGCAGTCCTTCAAGAATATAATTATACCCTCTCTCATAAAACTGACACTTCTTCAAAATTGAAATTATAAACTGCAATGTAACACATTCTAGCTTATTATTTGCTTATATTCTAATTTAAGTTTATTTTCAGGATCCAGTTTATTTTTTGTAAAATGTTTATGAATTCTGTCTATAGATCTTGCGACATTTGTACATTACACCACTCTGTCAAAGGCACCTCCATGTCAAAGGCAGTATCAACTCCATCAGTCATTGGCGGATCAAAGGTAGGGTAAGGAATAGCTTTAAAAATTTATAATTTTCTTTCCCTCAGTGCAAATTGATAATATTTGGTAATTGACTAATTTTCTCCTTTTATGCAAGTCTTGGAACATTGTAAAGTTGTAATAAAACCTAAAATATTCAACATAGTGGAAACACAGTTTTTACTAAAAATAAATGTACCTAGTTGATTAATTCCTAGTACAGCAAGGCTTTTTCCAAATCTGAGCAGCATATCATTAATAAAATCAGCTTATAAAACATATTGCACAGCTAAAAAAAAGTTACCAAACAGATATAATCCGTTGTTTAATATTTATTATATTTACCTCAAGTGAAAAAAGAATGTTTATTCCAGTTAAATTTGAAGGGTATACATTCAAAAGTGTAGACTTATTAATTTTTTTAATATGATTGAATATATATTAAACATTTGCACAGAAACTTCACCTGTTTCTATTGTTCATTAATTTTTTTTTAATTTACGGTCAATATTTCATAGTATTCCTAGTTTGCAGTCCTTCATGAAAATAATTATACTCTCTCTCATTAAACTGACACTTCTTCAAAATTGAAATTATAAACTGCAATGTAACACATTCTAGCTTATTATTTGCTTATATTCTCCTGGATATTTATTTTCAGGATCCAGTTAATTTTTTGTAAAATGTTTATGAATTCCATCTTTAAATTTTGCGACATTTGTACATTACACCACTCTGTCAAAGGCACCTCCATGTCAAAAGGCAGTAGGAACTCCATCAGTCATTGGTGGATCAAAGGTAGGGTACGGAATAGCATTAAAACTTTATAATTTTATTTCCCTCAGTGCAAATTGATAATATTTGTAATTGACTAATTTTCTCCTTTTATACTAGTCTTGGAACATTGTGAGGTTGTCATAAAACCTAAAATATTCAACATAGTAGAAGGATTGTTTTTACTAAAAATAAATGTACCTTGTTGATTAATTCCTAGTACAGCAAGGCTCTATCTAAACGTGAGCAGCATATAATTATAAAAATAAGCTTATATGACATCTTGCACATCTAAAAAAATAATTCACCAAACAGATATTATCTGTTGCTCAATATTAATTATATTTACCTCTAGTGAAAAAAAAAAATGTTTATTCCAGTTTAATTTGAAGGATATACATTCAAAAGTGTACACTTATTTATTTTTTTAATATTATTGAATATACATTAAACATTTGCACACAAACTTCACCAGTTTCAGTTGTTCTTTAATTTTTTTTTTTATTTACGTTCAATATTTCATAGTATTCCTAGTTTGCAGTCCTTCAAGAATATAATTATACCCTCTCTCATAAAACTGACACTTCTTCAAAATTGAAATTATAAACTGCAATGTAACACATTCTAGCTTATTATTTGCTTATATTCTAATTTAAGTTTATTTTCAGGATCCAGTTTATTTTTTGTAAAATGTTTATGAATTCTGTCTATAGATCTTGCGACATTTGTACATTACACCACTCTGTCAAAGGCACCTCCATGTCAAAGGCAGTATCAACTCCATCAGTCATTGGCGGATCAAAGGTAGGGTAAGGAATAGCTTTAAAAATTTATAATTTTCTTTCCCTCAGTGCAAATTGATAATATTTGGTAATTGACTAATTTTCTCCTTTTATGCAAGTCTTGGAACATTGTAAAGTTGTAATAAAACCTAAAATATTCAACATAGTGGAAACACAGTTTTTACTAAAAATAAATGTACCTAGTTGATTAATTCCTAGTACAGCAAGGCTTTTTCCAAATCTGAGCAGCATATCATTAATAAAATCAGCTTATAAAACATATTGCACAGCTAAAAAAAAGTTACCAAACAGATATAATCCGTTGTTTAATATTTATTATATTTACCTCAAGTGAAAAAAGAATGTTTATTCCAGTTAAATTTGAAGGGTATACATTCAAAAGTGTAGACTTATTTATTTTTTTAATATGATTGAATATATATTAAACATTTGCACAGAAACTTCACCTGTTTCTATTGTTCATTAATTTTTTTTTAATTTACGGTCAATATTTCATAGTATTCCTAGTTTGCAGTCCTTCATGAAAATAATTATACTCTCTCTCATTAAACTGACACTTCTTCAAAATTGAAATTATAAACTGCAATGTAACACATTCTAGCTTATTATTTGCTTATATTCTCCTGGATATTTATTTTCAGGATCCAGTTAATTTTTTGTAAAATGTTTATGAATTCCATCTTTAAATTTTGCGACATTTGTACATTACACCACTCTGTCAAAGGCACCTCCATGTCAAAAGGCAGTAGGAACTCCATCAGTCATTGGTGGATCAAAGGTAGGGTACGGAATAGCATTAAAACTTTATAATTTTATTTCCCTCAGTGCAAATTGATAATATTTGTAATTGACTAATTTTCTCCTTTTATACTAGTCTTGGAACATTGTGAGGTTGTCATAAAACCTAAAATATTCAACATAGTAGAAGGATTGTTTTTACTAAAAATAAATGTACCTTGTTGATTAATTCCTAGTACAGCAAGGCTCTATCTAAACGTGAGCAGCATATAATTATAAAAATAAGCTTATATGACATCTTGCACATCTAAAAAAATAATTCACCAAACAGATATTATCTGTTGCTCAATATTAATTATATTTACCTCTAGTGAAAAAAAAAAATGTTTATTCCAGTTTAATTTGAAGGATATACATTCAAAAGTGTACACTTATTTATTTTTTTAATATTATTGAATATACATTAAACATTTGCACACAAACTTCACCAGTTTCAGTTGTTCTTTAATTTTTTTTTTTATTTACGTTCAATATTTCATAGTATTCCTAGTTTGCAGTCCTTCAAGAATATAATTATACCCTCTCTCATAAAACTGACACTTCTTCAAAATTGAAATTATAAACTGCAATGTAACACATTCTAGCTTATTATTTGCTTATATTCTAATTTAAGTTTATTTTCAGGATCCAGTTTATTTTTTGTAAAATGTTTATGAATTCTGTCTATAGATCTTGCGACATTTGTACATTACACCACTCTGTCAAAGGCACCTCCATGTCAAAGGCAGTATCAACTCCATCAGTCATTGGCGGATCAAAGGTAGGGTAAGGAATAGCTTTAAAAATTTATAATTTTCTTTCCCTCAGTGCAAATTGATAATATTTGGTAATTGACTAATTTTCTCCTTTTATGCAAGTCTTGGAACATTGTAAAGTTGTAATAAAACCTAAAATATTCAACATAGTGGAAACACAGTTTTTACTAAAAATAAATGTACCTAGTTGATTAATTCCTAGTACAGCAAGGCTTTTTCCAAATCTGAGCAGCATATCATTAATAAAATCAGCTTATAAAACATATTGCACAGCTAAAAAAAAGTTACCAAACAGATATAATCCGTTGTTTAATATTTATTATATTTACCTCAAGTGAAAAAAGAATGTTTATTCCAGTTAAATTTGAAGGGTATACATTCAAAAGTGTAGACTTATTTATTTTTTTAATATGATTGAATATATATTAAACATTTGCACAGAAACTTCACCTGTTTCTATTGTTCATTAATTTTTTTTTAATTTACGGTCAATATTTCATAGTATTCCTAGTTTGCAGTCCTTCATGAAAATAATTATACCCTCTCTCATTAAACTGACACTTCTTCAAAATTGAAATTATAAACTGCAATGTAACACATTCTAGCTTATTATTTGCTTATATTCTCCTGGATATTTATTTTCAGGATCCAGTTAATTTTTTGTAAAATGTTTATGAATTCCATCTTTAAATTTTGCGACATTTGTACATTACACCACTCTGTCAAAGGCACCTCCATGTCAAAAGGCAGTAGGAACTCCATCAGTCATTGGTGGATCAAAGGTAGGGTAAGGAATAGCTTTAAAAATTTATAATTTTCTTTCCCTCAGTGCAAATTGATAATATTTGGTAATTGACTAATTTTCACCTTTTATACTAGCCTTGGAACATTGTAATGTTGTAATAAAACCTAAAATATTCAACATAGTGGAAACACAGTTTTTACTAAAAATAAATGTACCTAGTTGATTAATTCCTAGTATAGCAAGGCTCTATCTAAACGTGAGCAGCATATAATTATAAAAATAAGCTTATATGACATCTTGCAAATCTAAAAAAATAATTCACCAAACAGATATTATCTGTTGCTCAATATTAATTATATTTACCTCTAGTGAAAAAAAAAATGTTTATTCCAGTTTAATTTGAAGGATATACATTCAAAAGTGTACACTTATTTATTTTTTTAATATTATTGAATATACATTAAACATTTGCACAGAAACTTCACCAGTTTCAGTTGTTCTTTAATTTTTTTTTTAATTATGTTCAATATTTCATAGTATTCCTAGTTTGCAGTCCTTTAAGAATATAATTATACCCTCTCTCATAAAACTGACACTTCTTCAAAATTGAAATTATAAACTGCAATGTAACACATTCTAGCGTATTATTTGCTTATATTCTAATTTAAGTTTATTTTCAGGATCCAGTTTATTTTTTGTAAAATGTTTATGAATTCTATCTTTAAATCTTGCGTCATTTGTACATTACACCATTCTGTCAAAGGCACCTCCTTGTCAAAGGCAGTAGGAACTCCATCAGTCATTGGTGAATCAAAGGTGGGGTAAGGAATAGCTTTAAAAATTTATAATTTTTTTTCCCTCAGTGCAAATTGATAATATTTGGTAATTGACTAATTTTCTCCTTTTATGCTAGTCTTGGAACATTGTAAGGTTTTACTAAAACCTAAAATATTCAACATAGTGGAAACACAGTTTTTACTGAAAATAAATGTACCTAGTTCATTAATTCCTAATACAGCAAGGCTTTTTCCAAATCTGAGCAGCATATCATTATTAAAATAAGCTTATAAAACATATTGCAAAACTAAAAAAAATCACCAAACAGATATTATCTGTTGCTCAATATTAATTATATTAAAATCGAGTAAAAGAAAAAATGTTTATTCCAGTTAAATTTGAAGGGTATACATTCAAAAGTGTACACTTATTTATTTTTTTAATATTATTGAATATACATTAAACATTTGCACCGAAACTTCACCAGTTTCTGTTGTTCTTTAATTTTTTTTTTTATTTACGTTTAATATTTCATAGTATTCCTACTTTGCAGTCCTTCAAGAATATAATTTTATATTTTTACCCTCTCTTATTAAACAGACAATTTTTCAAAATTGATATTATAAACTGCACTGTAACACATTCTAGCTTATTATTTGCTTATATTCTAATTTAAGTTTATTTTCAGGATCCAGTTAATTTTTTGTAAAATGTTTATGAATTCTATCTTTAAATCTTGCGACATTTGTACATTACACCAGTCTGTCAAAGGCACCTCCATGTCAAAGGCAGTAGGAACTCCATCAGTCATTGGTGGATCAAAGGTAGGGTAAGGAATAGCTTTAACAATTTATAATTTTATTTCCCCCAGTACAAATTGATAATATTTGGTAATTGACTAATTTTCTCCTTTTATGCTAGTCTTGGAACATTGTAAGGTTGTAATAAAACCTAAAATATTCAACATAGTGGAAACATAGTTTTTACTAAAAATAAATGTACCTAGTTGATTAATTCCTAGTACAGCAAGGCTTTTCTAAACGTGAGGAACATATCATTATAAAAATAAGCTTATACAACATATTGCACATCTAAAAAAAAATCACCAAACAGATATTATCTGTTGTTCAATATTTATTATATTTACCTCTAGTGAAAAAAAAAATGTTTATTCCAGTTAAATTTGAAGGATATACATTCAAAAGTGTACACTTATTTATTTTTTTAATATGATTGAATATACATTAAACATTTGCACAGAAACTTCACCAGTTTCTGTTGTTCTTTAATTTTTTTTTTATTTACGTTCAATATTTCATAGTATTCCTAGTTTGCAGTCCTTCAAGAATATAATTATACCCTCTCTTATTAAACATGACACTTCTTCAAAATTGAAATTATAAATTGCAATGTATCACATTCAAGCTAATTATTTACTTATATTCACCTGGAAGTTTATTTTCAGGATCCAGTTAATTTTTTGTAAAATGTTTATGAATTCTATCTTTAAATCTTGCGACAATTTATACATTACACCACTCTGTCAAAGGCACCTCCTTGTCAAAGGCAGTAGGAACTCCATCAGTCATTGGTGGATCAAAGGTAGGGTAAGGAATAGCTTTAAAAATTTATAATTTTTTTTTCCTCAGTGCAAATTGATAATATTTGGTAATTGACTAATTTTCTCCTTTTATGCTAGTCTTGGAACATTGGAAGGTTGTAGTAAAACCTAAAATATTCAACATAGTGGAAACACAGTTTTTACTAAAAATAAATGTACCTAGTTCATTAATTCCTAATACAGCAAGACTTTTTCCAAATCTGAGCAGCATATCATTATTAAAATAAGCTTATAAAACATATTGCAAAACTAAAAAAAAATCACCAAACAGATATTATCTGTTGTTCAATATTTATTATATTTACCTCTAGTGAAAAAAAAAATAATGTTAATTCCAGTTAAATTTAAAGGATATACATTGAAAAGTGTACACTTATTTATTTTTTTAATATTATTGAATATACATTAAACATTTGCACAGAAACTTCACCAGTTTCTGTTGTTCTTTAATTTTTTTTTTATTTACGGTCAATATTTCATAGTATTCCTAGTTTGCAGTCCTTCAAGAAAATAATTATACCCTCTCTCATTAAACTGACACTTTTTCAAAATTGAAATTATAAACTGCACTGTAACACATTCTAGCTTATTATTTGCTTATATTCTAATTTAAGTTTATTTTCAGGATCCAGTTAATTTTTTGTAAAATGTTTATGAATTCCATCTTTAAATCTTGCGACATTTGTACATTACACCACTCTGTCAAAGGCTCCTCCATGTCAAAGGCAGTAGGAACATCATCAGTCATGGGTGGATCAAAGGCAGAGAAAGGAATAGCTTTAAAAATTTATAATTTTATTTCCGTCAGTGCAAATTAATAATATTTGGTATTTGACTAATTTTTTCCTTTTATGCTAGTCTTGGAACATTGTAAGGTTGTAATAAAACCTAAAATATTCAACATAGTAGAAACATAGTTTTTACTAAAAATAAATGTACCTTGTTGATTAATTCCTAGTACAGCAAGGCTTTATCTAAACGTGAGCAGCATATCATTATAAAAATAAGCTTATAAGACATATTGCAAATCTAAAAAAATAATCACCAAACAGATATTATCTGTTGCTCAATATTAATTATATTAAAATCGAGTAAAAGAAAAAATGTTTATTCCAGTTAAATTTGAAGGGTATACATTCAAAAGTGTACACTTATTTATTTTTTTAATATTATTGAATATACATTAAACATTTGCACCGAAACTTCACCAGTTTCTGTTGTTCTTTAATTTTTTTTTTTATTTACGTTTAATATTTCATAGTATTCCTACTTTGCAGTCCTTCAAGAATATAATTTTATATTTTACCCTCTCTTATTAAACAGACACTTTTTCAAAATTGAAATTATAAACTGCACTGTAACACATTCTAGCTTATTATTTGCTTATATTCTAATTTAAGTTTATTTTCAGGATCCAGTTAATTTTTTGTAAAATGTTTATGAATTCTATCTTTAAATCTTGCGACATTTGTACATTACACCAGTCTGTCAAAGGCACCTCCATGTCAAAGGCAGTAGGAACTCCATCAGTCATTGGTGGATCAAAGGTAGGGTAAGGAATAGCTTTAAAAATTTATAATTTTATTTCCCCAGTGCAAATTGATAATATTTGGTAATTGACTAATTTTCTCCTTTTATGCTAGTCTTGGAACATTGTAAGGTTGTAATAAAACCTAAAATATTCAACATAGTGGAAACATAGTTTTTACTAAAAATAAATGTACCTAGTTGATTAATTCCTAGTACAGCAAGGCTTTTTCCTAATCTGAGCAGCATATCATTAATAAAATAAGATTATAAAACATATTGCAAAACTAAAAAAAAATTACCAAACAGATATTATCTGTTGCTCAATATTAATTATATTTATCTGAAGTGAAAAGAGAATGTTTATTCCAGTTAAATTTGAAGTGTATACATTCAAAAGTGTAGACTTATTTACTTTTTTATTATTATTGAATATACATTAAACATTTGCACAGAAACTTCACCAGTTTCTGTTGTTCTTTAATTTTTTTTTTTATTTACGTTCAATATATCATTGTATTCCTAGTTTGCAGTCCTTCAAGAATATAATTATACCCTCTCTTATTAAACATACACTTCTTCAAAATTGAAACTATAAATTGCAATGTATCACATTCAAGCTAATTATTTACTTATATTCTCCTGGAAGTTTATTTTCAGGATCCAGTTAATTTTTTGTAAAATGTTTATGAATTCCATCTTTAAATCTTGCGACATTTGTACATTACACCACTCTGTCAAAGGCACCTCCATGTCAAAGGCAGTAGGAACTCCATCAGTCATTGGTGGATCAAAGGTAGGGTAAGGAATAGCTTTAAAAATTTATAATTTTATTTCCCTCAGTGCAAATTAATAATATTTGGTAATTGACTAATTTTCTCCTTTTATGCTAGTCTTGGAACATTGTAAGGTTGTAATAAAACCTAAAATATTCAACATAGTGGAAACACAGTTTTTACTAAAAATAAATGTAACTAGTTGATTAATTCCTAGTATAGCAAGGCTTTTTCCAAATCTGAGCAGCATATCATTATTAAAATAAGCTTATAAAACATATTGCAAAGCTAAAAAAAAATCACCAAACAGATATTATCTGTTGCTCAATATTAATTATTTTAACCTCAAGTAAAAGAAAAAATGTTCATTTCAGTTAAATTTGAAGGGTATACATTCAAAAGTTTACACTTATTTATTTTTGTAATATGATTGAATATATATTAAACATTTGCACACAAACTTCACCAGTTTGTGTTGTTTTTTTTCATTTTTTTTATTTACAGCACATATTTAATAGTATTAAATTATTTTATAATTTTTTGTAAAATGTTTATGAATTCCATCTTTAAATTTTGCGACATTTGTACTAGAGATGGGCAAAATTGTACTCTGAGTAAAAAGTACAATTACAGAGTAATTTACTCAAATACTCGCCCGGTTCGAGTATCGAGTACTTCAATCACTACTCGACCTCATGATTGACGAGTACAAAAAGTAATCAGCTGTCCTCGTGAGTACTTTCTATTTTCAAATCTACTCGGGAATATTTTACTCTGAGTACTTTTCAAAGTAATCGAGTATTTCATTATAAAAATTACAGGAGTAGAATATTTAATATTTCTTCCATGTTTAAGTCCATTATTATCTTATTGGGGTATAGTTTTTAAAATAGTATCGATATTAATGTAAATTGAAAAAATAAAGAATTATTAAAATAATTTGGATTTAATCAACTTTGTGGACCATTTTTTTTTTTTTTTTTTACACCACTTGACTTTTATAATAATGCTGTCGAATTTGAGATAGTGCCCCCGGGCCCCGACTTTTTTTAAGTTTTTGTGTTAAATCGATATCAGAGTCGATTAGTATGTTTCGGTTTTGGGGGCGCTTTTTATGAAAATGATATCGAACTTGAGTTTGGGCCCCCCGGGCCCCGACTTTTTTTAACTTTTTGAATTAAATCGATATCAGGGTCGACTATTAGGTTTTGGAGTGTGCTTTTTATCAAAATACTGTCGGATTTGAGATTGCACCCAGTGGATTCACTTTTTGGAATTAGTCGATATCAGGGCCGTCTATTATGTTTTAGGGGACGGATTTTATAAAAAAAAAATCCGACATCATTTTCATAAAAAGTGTCCCCCAAAACCTCATAATCAACATTGATATCGATTAAAACCAAAGGTTACAAAAAGTCGAGGCCCGGGGGCCCAATATCAAATTCGATATCATTTTCATAAAAAGCATCCCCCAAAACATACTAATCGACCCTGATATCGATTTAATCCAAAAAGATAAAAAAAGTTGGGCCCGGGGGGCCCAATCCCAAATTCGATATCATTTTCATAAAAAGCGTCCCCCAAAACCTAAAAGTCGACCCTGATATCGATTTAATCCAAAAAGTTAAAAAAAAGTCGGGGCCCGGGGGGCCCAATCTCAAATTCGATATCATTTTCATAAAAAGCGCCCCCCAAAACATAATAGTCGACCCTGATATCGATTTAATTCAAAAAGTTAAAAAAAGTCGGGGCCCGGGGGGCCCAATCTCAAATTCGATATCATTTTCATAAAAAGCGCCCCCCAAAACATAATAGTCGACCCTGATATCGATTTAATTCAAAAAGTTAAAAAAAGTCGGGGCCCGGGGGCCCAATCCCAAATTCGATATCATTTTCATAAAAAGCGTCC